GTGCAGTGCTTTAACCCACTTCGCCACCAGGAAGGGCCCAGTATATTTATTTTCAATCTCCAATCCTATGTAGCTACAATAAAAATCTTTAGAATAAGGACAGATGGTCTTGGAAAAAGAAAAGAGTTTTGGGTGGTGTCAGAGATAGTGAGAATATATACAGGAGAGTGAAACAAATTCCTACAAATGTGCCTATTTAATTGTCAGATGCAAAAGTAACTAGATTGTGTTACCCAGACATACCTGGGAAGTTACCTCAGTTCTCCTTGCATCTTTATTTAGAAAACATGAGTTTGCTTTAATTGAATAAATTTAGAGCTCTCCTAAATTACTCAATAATTTAGTTGAACTGTTCTTTTAGGAGAGTATCCAGGCAATGCCACTATTTGCTTCTATAGGCTCCATTACTCTCTTTCTCTGTCTTTCTGACTCACAGAAGAGATTCATCTTTGTTCAGTAAATAAACTGAGCAGAAAGTTGAGGCAGCAAGGTTATAACTCACCTATCTCTTTGCGGCCACTCTGTACCAGCTCTTAAATTTCCATCTAGAGTTCAAGTGGGATGGCTCTGGAATAAGTGAATTACCTCCAGCCAGATTGCCTTGGCGGTTTTTATATTGAGTGTGACTACTTGTATTCCCAAGTCAAAGGATCCCCAGGGAAGCCCTGTCAACAACCAGCAGAACCCCCCAGAATATTATCCTTCCCCTTTCTGACCTCCCTTCTATATGGAGACATCAGGTCAGCCTTTGTTGTTAGAAACACTAATGAACGAGCCATACCACCTCAGAATGTGTCTTCTTGCTGATAGGAGGAGCCATATCCAACATGTACAGCATCATGGCAGCTCGCTACAAGTACTTCCCGGAAGTTAAGACCAAGGGCATGGCAGCTGTGCCCAAACTTGTCCTCTTCACATCAGAACACGTGAGTCGGTCCTCTTGCTTGTGAACTGTGTTATTTTCCACAGGACTGTCTGACTTCTAAGCCTCTGTTTGTTGCAGAGTCACTATTCCATAAAGAAGGCTGGGGCAGCTCTTGGCTTTGGAACCGACAATGTGATTTTGATAAAGTGCAATGAAAGGTAGGCAAGGGAGAGTGAATATTAGGTTCTTGATGTATTAAATGTGTTCATCTGTTAAATTTGTTTTATTGTGTTTAAGGACTGACTCAGTACAGTGTGCCAAGCTGCTAATGGTCTGTTGAAAATATCCGATTAAATTACTTTTTGCTGCTTTGAAGTTTTTTTCACGTACAATCTCACTTATTCTTCATTTTAATTTCTGTCCTTTTATAATAATTACAGGGGGAAGATAATTCCAGCTGATTTAGAGGCAAAAATTCTTGAAGCCAAACAAAAGGTATGTACTCTCTGCTGCCTCTAAATTTTAGTGAAAACAAATTTTTAAAAGTATCTTCATTCTGCCCTAGACAATAATTATCTTTGATAATGTAATAGATAATTTTATTGTGTTTCTCAAATTCTGTTCTCAGGTATTTGCTTACTTCCAACTTACGAGCTGACTTTAAAGCCGTGTTGTTACTTCAATTTTTTTAAAAGGAAAGTTTTGTTATTAAACCATTAGTCTGACATTTATTGTACCAAGGGATTAGTTTGATGTACTTTAATAAGTCCACTGCTGGGGAGAATCATAAAGATATAGTTTAATTTAGCTTTTCACTTGCTACTTCCTAGATATAACCTCATTTTAACAAATATAGATTAGCTGAGGATTCTGTAGCAAAGTGCTTCCATGCCCTGGAAAATGGCCCATGATACTTGGTGAATTCAGCCGCAATAAATTTTACAGAACAAAAAAAAAATAAAAATAAAAAAAAATCATAGAGCAGATGTATCCAGAAGGTACTGCCAGGTAGCTGTCAGGCCATTTACCAACTCTGTTGTTTGGGTTACATTCGTACTCCTCCTTCTCTAACTGTAGCTGTTTTCTGGGGTCTCAGTAGAAAAGATGGATGGAGATGTCTCTACAGCTGAACAAGGAAGGGCCAGATGAAGAGCCAACTTTCAATAAAACCTAGGACTCATGACTTCCTAAGCCCATCTTTGCCCTATCCCTCCACTTCCCCATTACTTTCTTGTCCAATTTAAAGTTTTACCAAAGCCACTATTAGTGAAACAGTGCACAGGTCTGTTCCAAATAACCAAATAATGCTATACTACATTTAGTTTACATAGAACAATGTAGCTTCTAAACATACAATGTCCACATACTATTCAGAGCTCCCTGTCTATCACGCTGAATGCATATTATTAATCTTTTCTGCCTTGTGTCTTGCCGTAGAACCTATCCGTATAAACCCACTGTATATTTCGCTTATTTAATTTTATTGTCTGTCACTCTCCCACTAGAATATTTATTCCCCAAGTTCAGAAATCCTCTTTTGAGCTAACTGCTATATTCCTAGTATCTACAGTAGAGCTCCATACATAAACATCACTCAAAAAAAGTATTGAGTAAGTGAAAGAATGAATAAAGCATATTCCCAGATGATCATGCCTGGTACCACACCAGCTTAGTTGGCGTGTTAGAAATAAATGCTACTGCAATTCTTCTACTTCGTGTGGGAAGTAGAAAGGTTAAAATACTAATCCACCCATGTCTCTTTCCATATAGGGCTATGTTCCTCTTTATGTTAATGCAACTGCTGGCACAACTGTTTATGGGGCTTTTGATCCAATACAGGAGATAGCAGATATATGTGAGAAGTATAACCTTTGGCTGCATGTTGATGTAAGTGTTATAACTCATGGGTGTCCAGACCTTCCTGGGGGTAAAGGGGGGGGCTTTACTTTATGATTTACCTCAAGCCTCTCCCAGCGCCCCTGCCAGCTCTCTCTCTACACCATTATAATTCTTCCTCTTCTCTGGCCCCCGAGGGGGAATAAGTCCTGAATACCACTAGACTCATCCAGTTCCTTACTGGCCAGTTGCCATTTTCTGGGTTCATCCAAGAATATGTCTCTGTCAACTTCTCCGATGGCATTTGTTTGCATAAGTAGCTGCAAAATGAAATCTAACTGATTTCATAGTGAGAAAAGTGTAAGGTACAATGTATAAAAGTGGTCCATGAATTTGGATATTTTGCTGCCTTTAGTCCAGCCAGTTCTGACACTTTCCTTAAAAATGCATATTTGGTACATGCGGGAAAATTAAGGCAATATATGAAAAGTGTTGTCAACTAAGAGTTTTAGTCCCCAATTTTCCCAAGAACACAAAAAGGTAAATTTTCACATTATGACTGGATGTATTTTTTCCTTTCTCTACATTCTCTGAATTCAATTTCTCTTAAGTGGGTGATAGGATAGTCTGCTCTGCTTGAGCAAAAGATTAACAAAGGCTGTCCTTTGTCCCAAGGCATTCTGAAGTATTTAGAAAGACACGAATCGAGGCACCCACAAAAATGCTTGCTGTTGGAGATGGCCAAGCTTGTCAGGGCGGCTGTTTTCTGAGTTCTTCAGAACCCTGAGAATTCTATCCTCAGAAGACTCACAGGGCAGGCTCAGCCATCTGAGTGGCTTCTGGAGCTCCCTGGGGGGCTCTTGGAGTGTCTGACTTTCCACAGCAGGGCTTTGGGTCTTGGTACTTCAAGTTTAGATCTGCATTCCCTGTATCACTCATGCTACTACTCTTGATGTTAACCTGGAGGAACCTTATACAATGAGTAAGCACAACTAATGGGTGATGAGAGCTGTCACTGAGTAGGCAATCAGTGTTGGGTTCTTTTTTTCAGACAGCTTACCTTTTTCACTTTTTACATTCCCTTTCATGTTTAACTAGAGTAGAATGATTGGTTTGGGGTTATTAAATGTCACTGCTCTGCCCCTCGTCCTCTTTTTCTGTCTTCACAGGCTGCCTGGGGTGGTGGGCTTCTCATGTCCAGAAAACACCGCCATAAACTCAGTGGCATAGAAAGGTAAGGCCTCCTTCCATTCAGGCCATCCCAGCTGCTGCACTGCGGAGGCCCCCTGCCACCCCCTTCTGCCTTGATAACCAGCACCTTATTTCAACCTGTCCATGCTCACTGTACATTGAGCACTTATTGCATGCTAAGCACTGGCAAGTCAAATGTAATTTATTTCCTGGTAAGCCCTCAGTGAGTTCACATTTAGACAGAGCGAAAGATGAGTTACCAGTCACAGTTCAATGTGGTAAGTGCAACAAGAGAGGTGATGGCAAGGTGTCCATGAGGAAAAAGAGAATCTTACCATTCCAGGCATTTGGAAGCTAAATGAGAGTTTGCCAGGGACAGAGGAAGGGTGCCGATTCACTTCCTTCTCACTAAGCTTACTGTTCACAGACACTTGGGAAAACATTGGACACTCACCTCACTAACTTGTTATTTTCTTGTTCATTACTCAAGAACAGTGGAGAGTTTAAGTATTGATTTTGATTTTGACCTGACTCCTAAGTATTGATCTAAAATGAACTCACATTGATTCATTTATTCATTCAGCACCTCTCATGAGCCAGCAGGCATGGGAGTGAATGGTTGGTTATCTGTCTTCAGGCTAGCCATCTATGGCTCTTTTCTAAAGAACGTATTATCTGATACAAGAAAACTAAGGCAGTATGTAGAAGGTTCTATTAACTAAGAGATTTATTCTTCTACAGCTTACATTCCAGAGGGCTAAACTATTCATAAACAAAGGGATATTCAGTCTATCTCATAGTAGAGGAAAATAAAGCACTATTAAATAGCAGTGAGAGGCAAGTCACGCCATTTTAGAGCGGGTAGTCAGCAGCTTTTCTACGAGGTGACATTCAGCAGGTTCTAGAATAAATTGGACAGGAATCAAGGTTACAAGGAAGAGTATTCCAGGCAGTGGCAAGAACAAGTGCAGAGGCCCTGAAGGTAGAACTGTTCACAGGCACTTGGAAGACAATCTAGGAAGCCAATGCGGGTGAGTAAAGTGAGAGGAAATAGCAGACTGAAGCTGGAGAGGTAGGTAAGGGGCAGGCCTCCAGACGAGCACACCAGTGACTTCTCTCAGAGCAGAGATCCCGGCTTGAGTTTCAAGGGCTTCTATATGCCCCTTCTCTCTGTTTCAGTTTTGAAGGTCTGTTTCAAAGTGGGTGGAACTGATTCTTTGAAGTATAGTCTTTTAACCTTATAAATTGGAGGATAAGTGTCTTGAATATAGATGAATCAGTCCAGCTGTACATCATATTTCTTGATTTTTATGTTTCCATCTTTGAGTCTAGGAAAACTTCAAACATTTCACACTAAACCTTTTCTTTAACATTTCAAAGCACACGTTCCAAAATCAATTGAATCCACATTATGTCTTATTACTTTTCATTATAAAGAATCATTTACTTTAGATCTTTCAGACATTCAAAACACATTTAAGATATTTTATGAGAGGGCCCTCCTTGGTGCTGTGACGGGTTAAAGTGCAGAACTATGAAGCTCTCTGAAGTCACTGAAGCACAAGTTTGATCCCCGGCTAGGGAGCTGACCCACATGATACAGCAGACTACTCCTATCTCACCCGCTGCTCCCTTCAACAGTGTATTTCAGTCAATCCACCTGTTCTATTTCCCCACTCTGTCTCTGGTGAGTCCTCTTACCCCCACACCTTTGGTCTTTACTCCAGTTCTAATATGTACACATAAATAAAATCTTTTTAAAAAAACTTTATATATGTTAAAGATATTTTACAAGGTCTAAATACAATTTCTGATCTACATATAATGACCTAAATATGACAAAATAAACATGACTCAATAATGATAGATCCGAGAGAAACTGATTAAATCCACAACCTATTAAATGACTTGACACTGATTTTTTTTTAAGATTTATTTATTTATGCATACAGAACTGGGGTACAAACTAGAGTAGCAGGGGCAGTGAGAGGCTTCAGTAGAGACAGAGTGGGGAGCAGAACAGACAGATCGACGAAGTACACTGCCGAGGGGAGCAACGGGCGGGTCAGGAGAGGTCTGCTGTGCCATGTGGATCATTTCTCTGGCTGGGGGTTGAACTCAAGCCACTGTGGCTGGTAATAGCTTGGTGGAACTGAGACATTAACCCCAGTACCACAAGGGAAGTCCCCAAACCTGAGTTCTCAAGCTTGACATTAGACAGATATAATGCCTAGAAAGCTCTTAGAACAATAAGACATAGTAAGTTCTTCATAAAGGTTAGCCATTGTTGATAGCAGTTATTTGAAAGAAGCAGTCTGTATCTGCATTTTAGCCAGAGACTGCTGCTAAATACTTGTTTCATTAGGTAGGAGATTGGGCATCAAAATGAGTACCGACTTAGTCTCAGTGTGGTGGTTTTCTCAGGATCTGCCTCTGGCTGATACCTGCAGCTTCTCAGTATCATGTGCTTCTTTCAGGGCCAACTCAGTCACCTGGAACCCTCACAAGATGATGGGCGTGCTGCTGCAGTGCTCCGCCATTCTTGTTAAAGAAAAGGTCTGTACGCCTTCCAGAGATGAAGGGGCAGCTGGCACATCCTTTCAAAGGCTCATGGAGGGCAAAGCATGGGGTCTAATCACAACACTTGCTGATGAGCCCCTGCCCTTACCTGTTAGCCTTCACTGAGTTCATTTTCACTAACTAGCGCTTCCTCCCAGCTCTTGCTCTGTACAGCCCTCTTCCTCATTTGGGGCCCTGTCATCGTTTGTGAGATCCTTTCATCTCACATTTCTTCATGTTTGTACAAACTAAGGAGACCACCTCAGTGGTCACTGGAACATACTTTAAGGTCTTAGCATTAATTTGTGGTCCCACAGCTGAAATAATCTAGGCAGAACATTACACATATCAACTTAGGACAACATAAATGTTGACCCAAAAGCTGCTGTAAATGAGTTAATGCTGTTTGCTTCTTCAAGCATCTAGTAATTGTACCTTGCCTGTGAAAGCATTGTTGCTCCAATAAAACTCTAGTACATTGAATATTCTAAAAGGTCCGTTTCAGACTGTGAGTACCAGAGTCACAGTACTCCACTCCACTCCAAGTAGAATGCCTGTTAACATCATGGGAGGCCCTAGGAACACTGGAAGATTTTTTGGGAAGTGCTTCTACAAAAGAAAATTCTTCACAGCATGAGACTATCCCATTCTCTGTAGGAAGTTTAAATCCCTAATCCTCCATCCCCAGGCAGCTTAGAACCTCCCAGTCTTTGAAACAATTCCAAAACGTCCCTAGAGGGGCTGTGGGGGCCCTTGTAGGCATCTGAGACAGAAAGATCTAGCCAGAGTGACTGAGGGGTAGAGGCCTTTCCCACAGGGGTTTTAGGAACATCAGGGCAAGTGTGGGGCCTCAGAGGGACTTCAGAAGGCAGGTTCCCATGACCCCAAGGACTTGTTTGGGAACTACGCACATCTCTGGACTGAGAGGACTGATGCTCCCTGTCTTGACTCCCTTCACAGGGGATCCTTCAAGGCTGCAACCAGATGTGTGCAGGGTACCTCTTCCAGCCAGACAAGCAGTACGACGTCTCCTACGACACTGGGGACAAGGCAATTCAGTGTGGCCGCCACGTGGACATTTTCAAGTTCTGGCTGATGTGGAAAGCAAAGGTACAAAGGAGGGAATTCAGGAAAGACAGCACAGAGCAGTTTTCACAGGCTGGTTGGCAAAAGAGAAGCAAAGATACATCACAGATAATTCATGACATGTGTAATCAATAACTAGATCTTTGGCTTAACTATTTTCTTTATTTGCAAATGAAATCACTTTATCCCTCATGTGAGATTCTTCCTTGTTCCATTCAATCTTAATTTGAATCAGCATGAAATTTTCTTATAACTTTCACTTGCAACTAAGAGCTATCCAAAATTAGAGCTTCCATAGCAGTTCTCAGGGTTGTTGAAATTAGTTCAGATATAAAATAAGAGATAAAGATACAATGATTCTGTATTATTCTAAGCAGAGTCCTGCCTTGAAGCCTCAAATCATATAAATTTGACTTGTACTTTATACACTGTTCTAGAAAATGCACACTTTATTCTGAGAAATCCTGCTGCTAGATTGAGGCATACTCTTTCTGCATTCATCAGTCTTTCAAGTTGTATTCTGTGTCTAGAAAAGCAAAGCAACCTATTGGAACTTCTCCAAAAAATGTGGGTGTGAGGAAGGATTACCATTTGGCTATTTGTTTCAAAAGTATTTTTTAAAAGATTTATTTATGTATGCATACAGAACTGGGCTACAGATCAGAGGTGCAGGGGGGTGAGAGGATTCACCAGAGACAGAGTAGGGAGCAGAACAGTCAGATGTACTGAAATGCACTGCTTAGGGGAGCAGCGGGTGAATCAGGAGAGGTCTGCCGCGCCATGTGGGTCACCTTCCTGGTCGAGAATTGAACTTGGGCTGCAGGGGCTGCTTTGTCTTCATGGTGCTGTGCTTTAACTGGTTGCACCACCAGGGAGGGCCCTCAAAAGTATTTTTATGCCATCAGGTAAAGACAACTTAGACTTTACAACTTTGTATTGCATCCATTATTTATATTTACCTACTGTAAATTAATTCCGATAGTTTTATATTTAAGATCAGGTCTACCTAACACCAAAACAAGACAGTTCTACTAGTCAAATATTTCTTCTGTAGGAAAAATTTGACAGATAATTAGATTTTGCCTCATTAGGTCATTTTGCTTTGATACAGAAATAGTCTGCATTTGATTTCTATCACAAAGCACCACATTTCTATGACAGATATTTTAAACATAGACATAGTCATAAATTGCCAATGAGAAAGAATCCTACCATTTAGAATATAAAGAACAAATAGCCTATCTCAGCAATTTGTGTCCTTCTATTGCCAAATAGCCTTTTGAGCCATTGTCAGAGTGTGGCTCTAGTACAGTATCTGTTGCTGGAGGGACCCTCCTGTGGGCTTCCTTCCCAAGCAGAAAGTGGGCTGGCTGGGCATACACCTGGCGCTCACCACCTGGGGAGGCTCACACTTTGCCAGAGTTCGACTTCACCCAGGCCCACTAGCAATCACAGCTTCGTGGGTGTGATTGTTAACCCTGACCCACTCAGAACCCCCTGTGCTGCTATTATTTATCAGCCATGATGACTTTTGAAATTCATGCTCAACCTGGCTTGTTAACAGTTAAAATTATTGCAATCTCAGAGCACAGACTGAGATCATTGGCTTCCCTATCTGCCCACCTGCCTGTCACCAAAAAGGGGTAATGCTGTGTTTGTGGAAGGTTGCCTGCCTGGGAGCACTAGACACATATCTGGCCAGGACCTATTATTGGGGAAGGTTGGTTCTAAAGTATTTCTTAAACTGTCTGTGATGACAAAACAAAACATATTAAACTATAATGGACTAATACAATAAAGACAATTGCTAGCAAGATAAAATTTAAAAATACAATATACATATACCAATTTTTAAAATGAGATTAAGTATATATAAACTTTGTCAAATTACTATAAAATTTCTTATTACTTATTCTCAATTTCTGTATTGGTCTTATCGTGACTAGTTACAGTTTCTGGACTGATCTTAGTCCATAAACAATACTTTGAGTAGCACCATCCTATAGCAAACCAGAAATAGGCTTCAGGTCTGGGCTATAAGTGACTATTAGGAAGCTAGACATCCCAGAAAGAATACCTGCCCAGAGACCAAAATGCCTTCAAAACAAAGAAAGCACCCTCCACTTGCTATATGCAACGCTGCCAAATGCACATTTCATCAAATGGCTCTTCCTAACCATCTGTAAGAACGCTCTTATATGTATTTCCAACAGATGAGGACAGCCTTCTCAAATACCCACCACAGGAAAATGCAGCTCTCACCAACAAAATGACTTTTCTTTTTTACACAGGGCACGGTGGGATTTGAAAATCAGATCAACAAATGCCTGGAACTGGCTGAATATCTTTATGCCAAGATTAAAAACAGGGATGAATTTGAAATGGTTTTTGATGGGGAGGTAAGTTGTCATTGTGGACTAGATTCACAAAACATCTATTGAGGGAAGCTCCTGAAGCCATGTTTTCCAACATTGCCAACGCTGCTTCTGAATTTTCATTTTACACACTTTTAATTTAATTTCCTCTCTGTCTATGATGGACACACAATGTTGGGATGATTTCCTTCTTTTCTAACATGGTGTGACACCTGCCTAGCCATTTACTGGCAAGAGATTTTTCTTGGTATGTCTGAATCTTCTATCAGACCTAGTGTGTCTAACTGCCTTGGACTTCCCTGATAAAGTGATTCTCACTTTTCAGACAGAGCTTTGTCTCCCAAGACTGGTTCTAAAATAAAGTTCTGCTTTTCATAGATTCTTTCTGAGGAGAGCAAGATAAATGTTGTCTCTGCCCTGAGTTCCTGTCCACATTGTACAGCAACATGCTTGCGATATCCATACAGAGTGCACACTCTTCCTGTGTCCCATGCCAGGAGCTGGGGATTCAGTAGTGATTAAACACAGATACTGTTTCTGCCCTAGTAGAGCTTGAAGTCGGATAAAGATGGAACAGGCTCATATTGAAAGAAATAAAATTCAGTCATAACACAATAAAATATAATACTGCCTACATTCTATGTAGTCCATTTATCAGGTGACCTAAATTACTGTGCACACTGGAGTCCCCAAATAAGCAGAATAAAGCCTAGAGCAGTTCAAATCAATGACCCAGCATGCATGCATTTCACCTGCAGGAACTCCCACCATTCATGTACATTATTTTAAACATTTTATTAGTAGATTAAAGATGAATGTGATGTCTCAAGCCAGTTAGAGACAGACACAATAATGTCAAACAGTCATTAAGAAGGAAATTGAAAATGATGGCAAGAATATGAGCCCAATAAACATAAAAGTATTTAGGGCAGGGACACAATAGTTCTAGTATCTCAATAAGCCCTGTCTCAGGATGGAACCACTATAAATGTTCCTTATGATAATCCTGACTCACCAAGTAATGATTCAGTATCAATATAATGAACTCATTAAAATATTCAAGCATCTTCTAGATATAAGTCACTACAAAATGTTAAGATACATAACCCCTTTTTAAAAACTATACACATGTAATATTTTTTAAATATTTCATGTAGTAACATTATTCAGCTAGAAAATTGATTATGAGAAATAGTTCTTCTCAGATAGGACTGAATAAATTAGGCATTGTTCTCCCTAATACAGAAAAGTAATGATGCTTTCAAGATGAACAGGAAGTCTTTTATTTATTTATTTGTTTAGTTTTTCAAATTTCTACCAAGGATACACATGTGTCTGGGAAGTTTTCTCTCAGGTTCTTATAATTTTCTGCTTTGTTTGTGAAAAATCTCTGCAGCCTGAGCATACAAACGTCTGTTTCTGGTATATTCCACAAAGCCTGAGAGGTGTTCCAGATAGCCCCGAACGACAGGAAAAACTACACAGGGTATGGAATCTCTCCTTTCATTTAACTCTCTGAAATTCCTCTGCGTAGTCAGAACATTCTCACCATAATGTGACTTTTTAATGGGGAAGAGATAAAAACAAAAATAGACTTGGGGTAGGTTAATTTAAGCCATGGATTGATGGGGAGCACTTTTATTATATTCTTGTTGGGTCTGAATGTTCCTTTTGCCATGATTTAGATATGATGGAGACCTCTAAAGTGTGCTTGCCTGTCTTTAGTTGATGTTCTTCATTAAAGTGGCTGTGTTTAGGGTAACTAAATAATATACTCTTAGGAACATTCCTTATTAAACTGTGCCTATTAAAATGCCACTTACTAAGTTCAAGATGACTTTAAAAATGACTCATTCTAGTTGTTAATTTCTGTATCTAATTTCTATATCCTTTTATTTTGATTTTAAATTCTATTAGATTTAATTCATCTAACTATTTGACAAATGTTAATTTAATACAGTCTATCTGCCAGGTAGTGTCCTGGGCTCTCTGAGTTTTACATAAGTCTTAATTTGTGTTGTTGCCCACCAGAGCTGTTTTTGTTATTTTCATTGTGATGTAATGGACATAAAACATGATTTGAATTTCAATATGCAGCATAATGATATAATATTTGTATATATTATGAAATGATCGCCTTAAATCTAGTTGATAGCCATCACTATGCATAGATTTTTTTCTAACTTTTTAAAATCTACTCTTAAGAGTTTCTTTTGTGATTTTTATTTTGCTATCACTGTCCTATGAATGACTTTCAAAATTCAGTTGCAGAATAAACTTTCGGAAGGAAGACTTAAATAGTCATTAGATATAAACCACCAGAGAAACCTAAATGTTAAATGTTTCTTTACCTTCATGTCCACGTGAACACAAATAGTAATAAGCAGCTTGCTCCTTTGTCCAACCAGGGTTGCATTGTTATGGAGTGTTGTGACTATGAATTTCAGTTTGCTTTGTGTTTTCTGGTACAAGGTGGCTCCAAAAATCAAAGCCCTGATGATGGAATCTGGCACCACCATGGTCGGCTACCAGCCTCAGGGGGACAAGGCCAACTTCTTCCGGATGGTCATCTCGAACCCAGCTGCTACCCAGTCTGATATCGACTTCCTCATTGAGGAGATAGAAAGACTGGGCCAGGATCTATAAATTCAGAACATGAGTCTGTGGGAATTCCCTTTCCTCTCTGGCACTCTAGAACAACCTATATAAGTTGCTGAAATACATGCCCCATTTCACTGAGGGAACATATACTCTCTTGAAGAATACTGTTACAACCTTACTTAAGCTTGTTATAGGTAGCAGGAAATAATGTTCTTTTTAAAAAGTTGCACATTAGGTACACAGTATATATGTACAGTTATATATACCTCTCTCTCTCTATCTGTATGTATAGTTAGTGTGGCTTAGTGATAGCTCACAGCATGCCCCCACTCCACAGGAATTAACTTCACCTTCAGCTGTTACCGAGGGGCCAAACATGCTGCAAACCAGCTTACTCACCAACCACAGGGAAGATGTCTACCCAAATGTCATGTCATAAGGACTAAGGGAAATGCTGTGGTGGCAGCTGACTTCATTGTCAGTGTTTCTCCCACCCGAAGTGATGATGGATGAGAAAAAGCACCCCTAAATGACAAGAGTCATGCCCTGCCCTTTAGTATCCTCTTAGGGGGAAATAGCAGCTGAGTCATTGTCACAGGTGTACTATTCCTGTATTTTTAGAGGTTAATTTGTGTAGATTGTGACTATATTACTGTTGTCTGACCTGGGGGAGAGGGGAGAGAATACACATAATGATTTCGATGACTTTAATTATAGGTAAATGAAATATTTGCTTATTTATATTCAGATATTTACCATGTTAAAGAGGTGTCTTGTATTTTCTTCCCATTTGTAATGTATCTTATTTATATATTAATGCAGTAAGGTCTGAAAAATTGTTTATGGTATTTTCGTGCACTTGTGAGCCAAAGAGAAAAGATTAAAATTAGTGAGACTTGTATTTATATTAGAGTGCCCTTCCTTAAAATAAGGATTTAAGCATAAGTTTACTATCTATAAGAGAATTCTGACATTGTACATAAAGTCATATATATGCAAATCCCATTACTTAAACAGCTCCTGCTCTCCTATTATCTTCTGTCTGGCTGTATATCTGTGTTCTCAAAGCTTTTCTAGTTAACTATTAAATAATGACTACATCTCTTGTAATTTTGTAGTAGTTCATGACCAATCTCTGTGACTTGCTTAGCTCAAACCTAAGGCAATGTTTTGAATACCTTCCGAAGATCTCAGATTAATTGACCAGGCTCACAACTGTTTTTGAAGAAAGGAAATTCACACTGTGCGTTTTAAGAGTATGCAAGAATATAAATAAATAAAGCTATTCTCCATGGAGAACTCAAACAAATTTTCTTCTAGTTTGTGTTTCATATATAGAGACAGGTTTCCAATGATCGATATCTGGATCACGACAGCCATACACTTTCCTGACTTCAAGTGATGCTCCGTTCTCTTATTAAGCTAGGACTTGTCCCACTGTCATAGTTTGCTGAGTCCCTTATCTGTAAAGCTATTATGATTGAAGTCAAAATTACAGATCAAGCCGTGAGAAAGGTAAGTCCTTCCTGTTTCTCATTTTCCGATTTGCCTCTTGGAGTTCCAGTCATTCATTCACTTGACAAACATTTTCTTCCTCATAGCAGGTGCTGATCTAGGCCTGAGGTTATAGAGTGTTCCGGCAGACACATTTTCCTTCTAGTGAGTATCTTACATCATTTAGTGTCCATGGTATCTGAACTCAGCTAAAATCGCAGAATCGCTCCTTCCTGCTACTTATACAGTGGGCCCAATTTACCTCCTAAGGAAATATGTTTTGGTGCTGGATCATTAGGAAATAGGGCTCATTTTCTATTAAACTGCAATACTATCTCATAAGGAGTTCCTATTTGGCATATGACGGGATTAGATAAGGGCCATTTGTAATTAGCATACTGATTGTATGTGTAGCCATTGCATTAAACCAAATGGGCTTCTTAGAGAGATGATCATAAGGTCACTCTTTCTTTCTCCAACTGGTCCTTCAAATCCGCTTGTGTGGGTTGATTGTTTCCATACTCCTCCTCAAATTCAGACCAATCCCATAGCTTTTCTGGCCTCTCGTTCACAAGAAGTCTCATTTTAGCAACTAAATGCCCAGCTAATTGTAATGAGTAAGATGCAAATATTTATACAGTATAGGGGTTCTGCTCCCTTCATCTGATGCAGTGGTGGGTAGACAGAGTAAGGCTGAGGGTGGGATAAGGTCAGGTTCTCTAGTAATCGTGTCAGTTCATATCTGCTTCCTAGCGTATAGGACACAAAGGCACATTTAGGTATCTCTTAGTATGAAACTGTAACTAGTTTTGTAAGTTTTTTTTTTAAAGTTTTATTTTATTTGTATATGCAGAACTGGGGTACAGGCCAGAGGCTCAGGGGCGGTGAGAGGCTTCACCAGAGACAGAGTAGGGAGCAGAACAGGCAGATTGAGGAAGTACACTGCTGAGGGGAGCAGCGGGCAGGTCAGGAGAGGTCTGCCACACCATGCGGTCACCTCTGGGGCAGGCGGGGATCGAACTCATGCGGAAGTGGCTTTAGCTTCTCAGTGCTATGCTTTAACCCACTGCACCACCAGGGAGGGCCAGTTTTGTAAGTTTTGATAAATCCATTCATATAACCAACAACACAATCAAGATCTCAATCAGTTCCAAGAACAAATAGGTTCCTCCATTTTTGTCTGCAGAACCAACTTCAACCTCCCATTCCCAGCAACCCATTGTCTTCTGTGCCTACTTTTCTGGCCTTTCCAACCCATAAATAGAAGCATATGATTTGTAGTCTTTGAGTCTGGCTTTCTTCCCTTAATACATACATACAGATTCATGCATATTGTCTCTATCAGCTTTCCGTTCTTCGTTTTACTAAGCAATACTCCATTGTCTGAATGTGTCACGGTTTGCTTATCCATTCTCTAGTAGAAGGAAATGTAGGTTGTTGCAGTTTTGGTGTTTAAAGTTAAGCCACTGTGAACACTAGTGTACAGATTTTTGTGCAAACATAGGTTTTTCATTGAACCTAATAAATAACCGTGTGTGGGGTTGCTGAATCATATGGCAAAACTATGCTTTACAGAAGGCTGCAAACTATTTTCCAAAATGGAAATTGCATTCTCACTAGCAATGTACACATTTACTAGTAGCTCTGTATACTTGTTAACACTTAGTATTGTCTACATTTTTCATTTTAACTTTTTTGGCTACAGACTTGGCAATTTTAAAAGTTAAAGGCATTCCTTTCTTTGGATCAGACTCCCCTGAGCTAGAATGTGCAGTTTGTAGAGCCCGTGCTTCCTAAACTGTAGCCACAACCTGCAGGCATAGCCTTAGGTGGCTGCCACATGTGCTTGAGATGGGCAACACTTCCAATGATGGCTCCAGCTGTAATTTGTTTCTTTTTATGTATGTATGTAATGCTATTTCATTGTATGAATATACGTTGGTTGGTTTGTCCATTCTGTTGGAGGTATATATGAGTTTTTCCAATTTGTTTTTTGGTTTTTGCTTTTTGCCTTTTGCCTGTGGGGACAATTTTGATATAAGCATTCTTGTACATTTTTCCTGGTGCACATGTGCTAAAAATGTTTCTAAGGTTTATAGCTAGAAATGAGATTGCTGGGTCATAGTGTGCTTTGTGTGTGTGTGTATATATATATATATATATGTATGTATGTATGTATACCCATATACAATATCCTCTTACTTTAAAAATCTGTTGATTCTGTAGTTGCAGTCTCCTTTTTTTCTGAATAGTGGTAACTTGTGACCTCTTTCATTTTTTATTGGTTAATTTAGTAGAAGTTTGTCAGTTTCATTAAGCTATTCAGAAAATATTCATCTTGGTCAATACTCTCAGAGATATAATTGCATTTTATCTCATTAATTTATGCTTGTATATAATATATCGATTTAAACAAAAATATATAATGAGTAGATATTTTCTTTTCTCTACTTTTTTTTCGTTTTTTTTTGCATTTCTTTTCCTTATTTTTTTTTTTTTTTACTTGTATGTGTAGGTGATTAATGTTAAACTATATCCCTACAAGTATCCCTTTATACACTACAAATTTTGTCACACAGTATTTTGTTATTCAATTCTAAATATGGTGGATTTGTAAATTTGTCATTATTCTTAACTTTGCCCCTTTAATGATTATAAGCCAGTTTATAATTGTTATTTTTCTGGTGATTTAAAACTTTTTATTATTCTATAATGGTATCTGCATTCTTGTCCTTATCTGTTTTGTCTGTTATTATATCTATAGTACTTTTCTTCAGTCTTTGCCTAAATATATTTATTTTCCCCATTTTAAATGATAACATTTTGGTAGTCATTTTTAAAAGGCATGTCTCATATAAGTTGGATTGCATCATCTTTTCCTTCTTGGTCTTTAACTGATGGTTTCATTTAAGTGATAACTAAGATAGTATTTGGACTTATTGTCATTTTTTGTGCCATCTATTTATTCTATTTTACTTCTGTTTTTTTTTTATCTCTTGTAAATTTTGTATTGAGATTTATTTTTTTCTTTCTGTTCTTCAGTTATAATGTGTGAGAGTACAGCTGCTCACAAAATAATAATGTATTTATCCTAAGTATTTGCTTACTCTAAATATGTCATGAATATTTTTATCATCCCAAAATTAAAGAATTTTACTCTCTTCATGAGTTATTGAATAGCCTTAGAATAATTTTACACTGATCCTTATCCTCCCAATATATATGCTATTATTTTCTGATAAAGATTTATTTTTAAAGATTTATTTTTACAGTGCACATAAGATCTGGGGTACAGGCCAGAGGTGCTGGTGATGAGAAGACTCACCAGAGACAGAGTAGGGGAGCAAAACAGATGGATCTAATGAAATCCACTGCTGAGGGGAGCAATGGGTGAGACAGGAGAGGCCTGCTGCACCATGTGGGCCAGCTCCCTGGCTGGGGATCAAACTCATGCCACAGTGTCTGGTGAGGATAGTTTGATAGTGCTGAGACTTTAACCCCTGCACCACTAGGGAGGCCCTTTGATCTCTGTCTCTCTTTTTTTTTTTTTTTAAAGATTTATTTATTTATGCTTACAGAACTGGACTATAGGCCAGAGGTGCAGGGGTGGTGAGAGGATTCACCAGAGACAGACTGGGGAGCAGAACAGACAGATCTACTATAATACACTGCTGAAGGGAAGCAGTGGGCAGGTCAGGAGAGGTCTGCCTCACCATGTGAGTCAGGCTCCCTGGTGGGGGATGAGACTGGTGCTGCAGCGGCTTTGGAGAGCTTCATAATACGGTGCTTTAACCAGTTGCACTATCTAAAAGCCCCCTTTGATTGATCTCTTTTTTAAATTTACAATTTGTATGTTCATTCACTTGGTTTCTGCTTAGATGTAGCCACATCCTTACCACTCCATTTGTGCAGGACTCCTTACATCTCCCATTGAGTCATTTTCTTTTTCCTTGATCTACATACATTTGAACTTTTCTCTATTGAAATCTATTAATAGCCCTTCTTTGAAAATGGACTCTGGCCTTGTCTGCTCCCTGAACATCATTTGTAAGACTAGTTTGAAAGTTCAGTGATCCAGGTGATTTACTGCCTTGAAGCTGGAAAGATAACTGTTAGATAAGGCTGTAGGCAGGAAATGTTCCAGGCACAACAAAGGACCCTGCTCCTAGGCCTTATAGACTTTCTGTTATCTACTAAAGGAAGACCAGATATGTGTAGCAAATCTGCCTGCAAGCTCTTAAAATCCTTTAATTGGACTAAATGGTATAAAATGACTTAATAAAAGGACCTCACTATATTTGGGGCTAAAGAATGGATTTTTTTTAATAAACAAGTGCTTTAATATTTTAATTGAACCACTTTAGATCTCCTAGTTTCTTCAGTCTCCATAATAGACATCATGTTTTATGCCTGCCTGCATTTGTTATCTCTTCTGATAACATCACTCTAATTTCATTCAAGAGAATAAAATTCTTGCCCAATGTAATTTGCAGGGATGCGCCCACTCTCTGAGTCCAGAGGGGGTCCTCTGACTCAGGCATGGCCAGTCAAGGCATTCGATCCCCTGAACCACAGGCATGGGCACTAAGCAGCCTGGAGAGATTTCTGAGATGAGGCCATAAAGCCCTAGAGTTGAAGGATTCCCTGAGCAAAGCAAGTTGCCTAAGCAATCACTCACAACAGTGGCCCTATCTTGAAAGACCTACATTAGGTTCACCCTAAGATTCTGTAACAATGAGCTTGTCTGGAGGGCTGTGCTGTTGTCAGGTTTGGGGATTTGGATGTTTCTCAGTTCTTGACTATGGTGTG